AGGCGGGACCTCCGAGTTAAACGTCCACATCCGAGAGGACCGAGCCAAGAGTGGGAAATTCGTGTAAAGTGCCTTTCCCAAGGACACAGCGTTGGACCGAGCTTAGGCTCGAGCCCCTGAACTAGCGATCTCACGATTACGAGTCCGGTAGCCTAACCACTGGGCCATTGACGCCAATGACAACACATCGGACACCATGCCACATAATGTATCATAGTGATGACCTAGTACTACACTAGTAAGCGTCAGTGTCCACACAGTTGACAGAACTACACAGATAGTGAGATGTGACATCGTTGTTAACGTTGGGAGCTGGGGAAGGGTCTTTTTTAGATTTTTGGATTCCATGAGAGTTTTCTATTTTATTCCACTCCGGGGATCCCTGCACGCCACGGAGCCCAACAAGGGGACACATTGCTCGGATTACCAGAGCTGTGCCAGGGCTACCCCGAAGCTATACTCTCAACGAGAAAGTACAAGACCCTCCTGTCAAGATTGACCCAGGGCTTGATGGGGTTTCAGCTCTCAACCGAATGAGTGGCATGGGCCGTGCCACCCTCCCGTCTAAGAGGAAAACCTGGGCCAAAGAGGTGTGTTGGCGAGGGACAGACCGTGGATTGATCTCACCTTAACCGCCAGGTACCCGGTTTCCCTCTGCACGGGTCGCACCTCACAGACAGTGAGATGTGACATCGCTGACAGTGAATTCAGTGAACAAAAATCTGTTACAAAACATTCCAGATGACATTGTCAGAAAAATTAAGTCTCCACAATCCACAATGTGTCAAAGCTTTAAAAAAAAAAAACGCCTTTGAAAGAAAGATCTTTATCGTAAGAAGGACGTGGAAACCAAAAGTGCTGTACAGTCGTACTTGACTGATATTTCAGTCCCGGACATTTTTTTTTTTTTTTTTTTGGATTAAGTAGGTGTTTTACGGCACTTTCGACTCAGTTTTGGTCACGTAAGTGCCAATGGGTCTTTCGCAAAGGGTGGCCCATCGGCCTATGAAGTGAGATTATCTATTAAAAAAAAAAAACACACCTTTGAAAGATCTTTATTGTAAGAAGGACGAGGAAACCAAACGTGCTGTACAGTCGTACTTGACTGATATTTCAGTCCCGGACATTTTTGTTTTTGCTCAGTCTCCACCATGTGGGTGCCCCGTTTACTTGTGTTGTAGAAATGTGGTGAAAATCCTCGAAAAATGACATCAGCTGGCGGAAGCTCTGAGGCATGAACACAATGTGTAAGGTTATCAATGAGGCAGGGCTTTGGAAAAACAGGCCCCAGAAATTGTTAGAGAATTGTGAGGAAATCATGAAACAGAAAAGACATCCAAAGAGCTGGATGTCTGACGCTGAGGTGGTCCTTGGACTGAAAGGTTTGGACCCAAAGAGATTCCTTTGGTTCGGGCGCATCGTGGAAGATATTGATCAAGCCGACGCATCAAAAGAGATCCCTTTGGTTCATGCGCATCATGGAAGATATTGATCAAGTCGACGCATCAAAAGAGATTCCTTTGGTTCATGCGCATCATGGAAGATATTGATCAAGTCGACGCATCAAAAGAGATTCCTTTGGTTCAGGCGCATCATGGAAGATATTGATCAAGTTAAGGCACTGAAACAGATTCCAAAGAGCTGGATGTCTGACGCTGAGGTGGTCCTTGGACTGAAAGGTTTGGACCCAAAGAGATTCCTTTGGATCAGGCGCATCATCCAAGATATTGGTCAAATAGGCGCACCCAAAAAGATTCCTTTGGTTTAGGCGTATCTTTGTTAACATTGATGGAGTAGACCCAGAGATGGAAACAAACCTCATCCGGGGAAGAAAATAGTATCTTTTCTTTCCAGACACACAAGGACAGATGTCCTGCATGCATTGACTGGCACCACAAAGGCCATTCAGTATCATTTTTATTGATTGTGTTGTTACAATATTTCAGTCATCAAGTGGATAGAAAGATCATGTTCTAAGATAACTCATGATGGTCACAGCACAGGTAGGAGAGCCCACTTGTGAGCTCTATTGAAGGCCCTTTGAGGAGGGGTATTCTTGAATGGCCAGAATAAATTACAAAGCAAAAAAGCCTGCTGAATAAAATAAAAATTTAGGAAAATGCAATACTATGGTCCTTTAAAACGACACAAAACCATTGTGAAAGAGGGGCTTGAAGGAAGGAGTAGACGGGGTAGACAACAAGTAACTTGGAAGGACAACATAAAAACATAGACTGGCCCGGGTACAGTAGAATGTGCAACAGCAGCTCGCGACCGTGAAGGATTGAGGGTCGTTACACATCAACCTCTGAGTCAGAGAGGACACCTCTGAGTCAGAGAGGACACCTCGTTGTACCCAGGTAATGATGTGCAGGCAGTAGGGCTGGGTCACGAGCGCGAGAACGGAACTGAATCGTCACTCTTTCCTGCGGAACGCGATTCACGATTCACTTCAGCGGAACGCGGAACAGTTTCGCCAAACGATTCCCGATTCACGCCCCTGTCGCTGTCACCACCTTGTGGCTTGTTTAACCTACTGCTGAGTCGAGTCACGAGCGCAAGAACGGAACGGAACACTTAGTATGGCTCCCCTTATTTTACAAAAGATGGTATAGTCCAACCCCCCTATTAAAACAAAATGAACGGGGTCCAACCAATAGACAGAAGGAATTTTATGGAGCCATTGTTTTAGCGAATGGTGGGGTTGGGGGGGGGGGGATTTATGGGGGTCACTAATTGAGGTCAGTTGATAGAGCAGCGCAACAAAGGGTGTGGGGCGGAGAGGATGGCGGAACAACAAGAGTGCAGACCCTCTTTCTTTTTCTTGCTTGTGGAAAAACTATTATTCTGCACTCCGCAAACAAATGAGTGCTTGTTTTAGTAAGGTTTTACAGCACTCACAACTGTATAAGGTCATATGAGCGCCAAGGGGTGGATGTCAACAAAGAAGTCCCAACTCAACGGGGAATCAGGCTTGCTCAGCTCACCTCTCTAGTCTCAACAGTACAAAGTCTGCTTCGGCTATCAAGGCATCCCGGAAACAGCAGTTCACAAGAAAGTGACAAACATACAAAAGAAGTAGAGGCAAAATGACGATAGTAACGATGAAAGAAAAAGCAGCAGTTCCCCCTATGTTGTTCTGGTATAGTATGAGCACGACATTGATAAATCAGCCCATTTACAATTCTACTGTGCACAAGAACATGCATGTTAGTAGATGTCAATATCCCCCCTTTGGGAATGGCCTAAAGACACTGTTCAGTCAGTAGCACTGCTTTGTGGGGGCGGGGGGGGGGGGGGGGGGGAGAACCCGAGTGCTGGTCAAGCCTCTCAACAGCCATTTAAACAACAGAGTGAGGATACTTTGGGGTTGCCACTTTTTCAGATGTGGAAATGTATGTATGTAGTATAGGGTTTTACGGCGCTCACAAATGCTAAGGTCATATGAGCGCGCGAAACACAAGTTGTTTACTTTTCGCACAAGTTCACTCCACGATTGGTTAACTAATTATTGACTTTAAAATGCTAGAATGATATTAAAATTCAGTATTAATATATTTGTGATTTAAAACAACTCTTATAGGTAACAATAAACATTTTAAATAGTATGTTTTCATTTTTCATTTTACAACTTGCCATAAAGGCCAATGGCCTTCATAAAATTCAAAATTCTGGGAACAACGACGGAAAAAATATCTTGCAATTTCTTGCATTTATAATATTTCCTTCGGATCTCTCCAAAGTCTAGACATTCGGTTAAGATGTGTCTAATGGTAAAATCTGTGTCGCATCCGACACAGAACGGCTTCTCATCTCCCTGTAGGAGGTATTTGTGGGTCAGGGCCATGTGTCCGATGCGCAATCGAGTAAAAATGACTTCGTCTCTTCTGGAGAGGTCCGAAGGATTTCGCTGTTCTAGTTTGGGTTTTATTTCATATAGTTTATTATTTTTCTGCTTTTCCCAGTGGCTCTCCCACAGACTGGAGGTGTACTTTTTTACTTTATTTCTGAAGTCAGTCTGTGGGAGAGTGTTTGTCGTTGATCCCAGCAGAAGGGATGTGGAAAGAAGAAAAAGGTGAAACAGATGCCTTCCTATCGACAGCACTTGACAGATCTATAGGTGGGACACAGAAGACTTGAAATCACACACCCGTCAAACTGTGCCCGCGGTCCCGATTTTTCTTCTTCTTTATTTCTTTGTAATACAGGGTGCCCACTACAGCTGGATTGGGCCCATCGCCCGACTCGATCGCCTGAAACTGAAAACAAACACGTTTATTTTTTAGGTGATCGAGTTGGGCGATCGGCCCGATCAGCCAATCCCATCCGTGGTGGCCACCCCGTTATAAGATATCCCTCAAACTACAAATCCCTCTAACTACCAAGGCCAGTCTAGACCAATTCAAACTATCCTCCGTGTTATACTGCACTCAGTGGAAAATGTTTCCTGGGAAGGCTGGAGAAAAAAAGAAATAGAAAAGAAAAGAGAAATGCAGCTGAAAGAAGAAAAGAAAATAGACACGTGTAGCAACATGTTTATGGACAGACCATTACATGGCCCAGAGGATCCCCAGGGATATACGTGTGCTGCTACAGGACAGGAGTGGCAGATCGGACTCTAGCACAATCTACAGCTTTCAATCTGTACAACGAGTGTTACAGTTACAGGAAGATAACAAATGGTCGCTTCTGAGGACAAGCAGGCTAACCCAGATTTCGGGGGTTTCCAGAAATCTTGACCTACACCAAAAGTAGGCGTTGTCCCACCTATAGGAGAAGGTTGGTTTCATTGGTGTGTATCTGTTTGGTTATTGAGAAAACTCTCCTTGTATATTAAAGAAATTGAACAACAGGCAAAAATTTTACCTTCAATTTTCGCAAAACAGCATTTTGGGGGGATAGTCCCCCTTGTGCTTAAAAGCGACCAAATATCATGCTAGTCACTTAAAAGAATTAAAGTGTCTTCAAAATCACAAATGTGTAACAAACATTCGAGCATACATTAAATACTTTCATAACCCTTTACTAAGTAAACTATGACCGGACAATTGCAACATCAAATGCATAAAACTTTCATGTCATTGAGAAATCCCATGTACCCCTTTTTCTGCGCAGATGCTGCGGGAACAAAGTGGCCTCCCGGGTGGCGAAGAATCGTAGGATCACGAAAATACTGCAGCAGTTCCTCACTCATACTCTCCGATATGATTTGGTCTGTCTCCCCATACACGTGTAACGAAGGAATTTCTGATCTTCCGCTGTAATGAACGTCGTGAGCGGTAGACCTGCTTTTGAATCCTGCGATGAGAACAGCAAACTTAAACCACTGCTTGCCCCTCTGCTGCTGCATCAAACACAGCATAGACACCATGGAGGCTCCTTGACTGAAGCCCAGGATTCCATCATAGCTGTTTTCCTCCAGCTTCGCAACAATCATCTCAGCGGAGGCATCAAACCCCTTGGAAATGTCGCTGTAGTCCACAGACTTAAAATAATCGTCTTCTCTGGAGAACCACCATCCACGCTCCCCTGGATCGTCGCTGTCCCCCTGAGTTGCTGACGTGCCTGGTTCAGCCTCAGGGAGCGATTCCTCACCGTTTTGCTGCTGCTCCTGCTGTAGTCCCCAGGCTGCACTGCCCTGGTTCCCTGGAGGAACTCTATGCGGCGCTGTCACAAAGTCAAACTCTGCATATTTCTTCAACATTTTCCTCAGGGAACCAGATTTCTCTCGAAACATTTGAGCATTCTGTCTATATCCATGAATACACAATATTTTCAGAGGCCTCGATCCGGCATTGGTTTCAGACATTTTAGATTGTGATGTGCTCACGTCTCCAGGATCCAGTCACTCTGAAGTCATTCTGAAAAATAATACAAGGAGAAAAATAAGGAAATTTTGTTTTAGTAGAGGTTTTACGGCACTCGCAACTACATAAGGTCATATGAGCGCCAGAAGATTAGAGGTGTAGCAAGAGATTAACAAACATAAAAAAGAAGGAGGGGAGATAAGGACGATAGATGTTTGATAGGAAAGAAGGAGCAAACCACACCAGAGCACCCGCCAACCACGACCTTTACATATGTACAGGCTGATCGGACAGGTTTTTGACCATAGACAAGCTACACGGACAAATGAAATCGGGGAAACTTGGTTTATCATTACACGCCACAATCAACCTGAAGGCGGCCACACCTCGCGAGCAACATATTCTACACACTAGGCCTAGTCAGGGTGAAACTTCACACACGTGGGTGCATCATAGCAGACAGAACAGTTCTGGATGATTTAGCGATTTTTGTCTAGTTAAAAAAGAAACAACAACAAAAAACGGCGCATGAAGTACAAGGATTGCTTATAAATTGAAGAGGAATCGCTATCGCATACAAATCTGCTGGATGAGATAAGAGCATTTCCAGAAGATTTCAAAAACTTCAGGAGAATGAAAGTTCTAAGAGACATATTTGCAGCTCTTGTCCTGCGCTCAAAACATAAAAAAGTGCAGGAATGGAATAACCTTACACATACAAAACGAAAGTCATTCGAGAGCCATTTCCCTAATTTTTATACGCTGATTCTGAATCTGGTATTATTTTTTATCTACAACGATATTTTTTATAATTTTGAAATTTGATCAGTTGTACACAGCGCAACATACTTCAAAGATTAGTCCGCACACTTCTCAAGGCAGGATGTCAAATTCACAAGCAGCAGCTGTGTTTTCGACATCCGGCGGGCTAGTTATTCGCTGGGTGTTCGCCTACGAATTGAGCCCCAGTCGGCCTGTACATGTAATAACCCCTTTTGTTCATCAAAGAAATCTGAGCATCACTTTGTTTGCACGGCTAATCAAGCTGATGTTTAGGCTTAGCTAGATCTAGAATCTAGATTCTAGATATCTAGATTCTAGATCTAGATCTAGTCTAGATTTTAGATCTAGATCTAATTCTACGAGAGTTGCAGACTGCCTTTTTTTAGTTTTTAGTTTTAGAGAGTTTTTACGGCGCTCACAAAGTAACTGCATTATAACTTATAATTATAAGGTCATATATGAGCGCCAAGGGGAGGATGTCACAGAGAGGTCTAAACGGGGAATCAGACTTTCTCGGCTCACCTCTCTACAAGTCTAGATCTACGTCTCTAGAGATTCTAGCTTCAACAGCACATGTGACATAGATCTAGACTAGAGTCTAGAGTCTGCTTTGACTATCAAGGTACGGAAATAGCGGGTTACAAGACTGACTATTTAGGCCCAAGCCCCATCTGAATCAGTAGTCTTTACACAAAAACTCACCAAAATCAGTACACTTTCTGGCTTTCTGCTCAAGTCTTCTCTTTACTTTCATTAACCTTGTTGAGACTTCTTGTATCCTGTTTGTTGAAGCAGACCCGGCGTCGGTGCCAGGAGTTGTTTTGTTTTAAACAGGACTCACACTGCCTCCACAACGAGTTACAAAGTGTAAATAAACAGAGGAGGAGTCGATCAATTAATGATATGGCAGCTCTTAAGAAGTGAGAGAAGCAAAGTATAAACTACACTGTGTTAGTAGATCTAGATCTAGATCTAGTAGTTAGTCATAGTTACTTACTGTTTGTACCAGCCAACGTAGGCCTTTATATCTAACGCTGACGCTAGCTGCCTGGGTATAGAGGGTGATCAAAGACCCTGAAAGCAAAGAGGTTATAAATAGAACCAGAGGTCGTAGTAGTGACGTCACGAATGTCAAAGTTGAGGAGCCAGCCGCCATTCCGGAGAGGAATAAAAGGCCAGTCTGTGCACCGCAACACTTTTCAATCACAAATTAATGGTACTCTGCAAAGTCTTTTGATGTTGATTTTTTCTTCATGCGATTTGTCTATCGCAAAAATGTACTTAAGGGATTTTTGTGATTGTTTACCTTTAAATGAGCCTGTAATCTCCAAATAGAATCTAACGCAAACAGCTAGGTCTTTTCACTTGCAGCTAACTGCAGCCCGTCAGCCATGCTCTGACTGGTTACAAGGTTTCATACATACACATATTAGGCCTATACCTGCATGCATAGCCTACTCATGCATTGGCGAGATTCTTCTCTCAATCTAATCTATAATTCTTACAATTTAAATTTATTTTTATCAGTTGGCCCCCTATTTTTTTATATAAAATCAGTAGGCTAGCATCTTCATGGATGAAGAGATCTAGAATCTAGAAAATTATAGTGTAGTTGTGCTGCAAAACTTGTATTTGTATATAAAGATCTAGATCCAAGAATCTATAGATCTAGATCTACATCTGTTTTAGGCCATTTAGACTGGATTGAACATCGCAACCCCCCCCCCCCCTCACAAAAAACCCAATACTAGGTCTAAATACTAGATCTAGGAATAGAATATTTAACCAATCAGAGCATGGCTGACGGGCTGCAGTTAGCTGCAAATGGGTCTTTGACACGACGTGAGACCATATGGGTGAGTAAAATTCAGAAAAAAAATGAATGAGAAGGACTTGATGAACCCTTGTTAAAACAAAAATCATAGTTTTATTGAAATCTTTAGTTATCCGTCGCTCAAACAGTATGTCTCAATTTGTCACCGCTGACCACAACAAGGCGTTCGTATCGGCCCTCTGGAATCAGGAATGTAATTGAGAAGCTGATAGAAACTTCAGCCGCAACTCTACGACTCTAGGACACCGCCAAGGCAGGCTGAATGGAAAAGAACCACAGTCGATGTTGTTGAGATGAGAGAATATACAGTAGCCAACCAGCGTAACTACCCACCAAAATAAGACCGGTTTAATATTCTGTCTCATTTGCGGAAACGATGCCAAGCAGCAGCAGCAGCAGCAGCAGCAGCAGCAGCAGCAGCAGCAGCAGTAGCAAGGTTCATGGAAGATGCGGTGCTGTACGTAGCCAAACACGATTGCCAATCAACGCCAATTTTAGAAAATATTGTGAACGTTTAAGATAAACCAGCTATTTATCTAAGTGTTACATTTTAAAATGTTTGTCAGTATAATATCACTATTTGTGCCCGATATTAAACAGTGAGTGGGCCCGCACAGCCATAGTGCGTTTACACAGGTGACGTCACAGCTGTAACCTCTAGTAGTATTATAGCCTCTTTGTGTCTATGCCTCTTTGCCATGAAAGCTTATTCTTCAGTCTCAAAAGTTTATTCCTTTCCATCTTGCCATTTTGGCCATTTTGAGCCAAATTACAGAAACCCATATATTCCTAATTCAGTTTTATTTCTAAATTTCTTTTATTGCTAAGTTCCTACTTCGTTTTTCTCACACTAAAGTATATATATTGGACCTCGTCTATAGAAGCATGAATGTATTTGATTAAATGTTTCATATCAGTCGCATCCCTTTTTATCAGCTGATGTAAAACGAGCGGTAACTGTGTAAACTTCTTTTCTTTACATTGTAGGCCTATGTCTACTTTGTTATGTCCCTTGATTAAATAATTTACAGGGCGTTTTTTTATAGTTCCCTTTCCAGCAGCATTATTATTACTTGGATGGTGGCGCGTTTGACAGTTTAACTCAGGTCAAGCTAAATTTCGTTAGAATGCTCAAAAAGACTTTCTTGGAAATTCGGAAATGGAAAAAAAAAATTCCACTTTATGATTATTTCCTACCAGGGAAATTTTGACAAGAGTGCCAAGTAATGATAATATAATATTGCATTTGAATAGCCCAAATTCTCGCTCAAAAACCAGCTCAGACTTACAATCTTTATTACCCCAGAAGACCTGATAGCATTCTGAAACAATCTCAACTTCCTGGGAAGCATACAGTAGTACCGTGACATTGTCATATCATAAAACTTAGCAAGTTTACCCCACGACGTCACATACAGAAACTACAGTCGAACCTGTGTCAAAGAAAACCACTCATTGTCAATGAGTATGAGGCTCCAGTGGCTAAGTGAGTAATGTACATGTAGTGAGTTTACTCCAGAATAAAATCACGCAAATGTCGGCGACACACGGATCAGATGGGTGGGTCATTGGGATGTTTCCTTGACATAGTTATCTCCTATAGCGTATATGATCTAATAATAATAATAATAATAATAGATAGCATTTGTATAGCGCATATCACCGCTCAACAGCAGGCTCTATGCGCTTTACACTATATTATTAATCCAGCAGACCATAGAACACTCCGAAACATTCTCAGCTTCCCGTGAAGCATACAGTGCAAGCAGCTGATTAAGCGCTCAAACACTTACAAACTGACAAGATTTTTCGCTGTCTATAGCCGGGTCCCCATTCCCACCTGGGTGAAGTGAGGAAAATTCGTGTAAAGTGCCTTTCCCAAGGACACAACGTCGGGTCCCTGACAGGATTCGAACCCACGACCTTACGTTTGCGAGTCCGAGAGCCTAACCACTAGGTCACCGACGCCACAACCCTTCATTAGGTGCAGGCTTCCATTTTACAGGCGCTAAAACACTGAAAATACTGACAAGAATTTTCGCTGTCTGTGGCCGGGACGGGCAGCTAGGTTCCCAATTATTGAAATGAAAGCTAGGAATCGTAGGAATCGACTCCGAACCCAATTACTTACTTTCTAACGATGTGATTTCTTCCTGTTCTTACCTAATTGGCTCTGAACATCTTCAGGATATAGGATAACCTTGATTTCGGAACACTACGAGCATCAAATTATATTTTTCAAAAATAAATTCTTTAAAAAAAAGGATTTCAAAGATTAAAATAACTGGTAAGTGTTGGTTTTCGTAAAAAGGAATCGGAACTTCTCTTCCGTAGGTCTATGTCTACGTGGGATTCGGTTCAGAATCAATACTTCGCCCAGCTCTACCGGGTACCCATTCACACCTGGCGACACACGGATCAGGATGGGTGGTCACTGGAATGTTTCCTTGACATAGAGTTATCTTCTATAGTGTACATCTACACATCTATGGTCCTTGAACAAGACACGATAACCTTAGCTAAAAAAAAACCAGGGCGCTGCACAGTGGCGACTAGCAATGGCATGGTTGTGAAATTGATCTGTATAAGTGCAATATTGTGTAGCCCTATTTATGTAAAGTATTACAATATGTGTGTATATATTTATGTGTGTACATGTATGAGTTTATAATTAATTATGTATTTATGAAGGAGCCTACTGTATAACACGGACAGGTAAAACACAGAAGACTTGAAATCACGCGCATCCGTCGAACTGTGCCTCAGGTCCCGGATTTTGTTTCTGGTTGTTGTTGTTGTTGTTGTTGTTGTTGTTGTTTTGTTGTTGTTTTTTTGTGGGGGGGGGCTTTATCTTTGTAAGATATCCCTCGAACTACGGATCCTTCAAACTATCAAGGTCGGTCCCGACAAAATGCCAGCTTTCCGTGTTATACTGTGTAGATCTACATGTTATGTATTATGTTTGCCATTGTTAACCAAATTGCCCTTCTGGGATTAATAAAAATTGTAATTTAAAACAATGGTCATCTGTAACAGGCAGCCCTCTTGGGCGGTATCATTAGTCATTGAAATCACATCCCCTCTTAAGGGGGGGGGGGGGTACGCCCCAAAAGTCCCAATTCTTACTTACTTACTTACTATCCATTACGCCATCTGGCGTTTAGGGCAGCAACAAAGGATCTCCAGCTCTGTCTGTTTTGGGCCATCTTAGTCAGCGTTCCCCACGAATGATTCTTGGACTTCATTTCAGACTCTACTGTGCGTCTCCAGGTCACTTTGGGTCTGCCCCTTTTGCGACGTCCTTCGGGTGTCCAGTGGAGGGCAGTCCCAATTCAGCTCAGGATTATGGATTTCGAGTTGTAGGCATTTCTAGCTTCTTCAGCCTCTCTAAAAACTATTTCATGGCATTATAGAACCCACTGAAGCCGTATTTCTTCCCATAAAGGGCATGTTTGTCACTACCATTTCCTCATAAAGTCAATCCTTTATTTTTCTTTATCGCCCGTTTTCTCAAAACACTGGTTTTCTCTATACTTTTTTAAATAACTCCACTGTTTGTTGTATATCCAATCTTTATGAAATTTTCACTGAATGAAGAGAAAATATAATACTAAAAATTTGTCTGTTGAATATTTGATATATGGTATAGTTTTTTGTTAGTGGTGTCTGGAGTGTGGATTTTCACGGATTTTTGCCAACTTGAATACGACCTCAGGAAAAAAATTCATAAAAATTGATCTGATCCGTTTAGGTAAAATTCAACAGACAAATGTGTAGATCTAATGTTTGTTATAATGCATGCAAAAAAAGCAATGCTTTTCTATTAAAAAAATAAGTGCAGTATTCACTACGTAAGACATGTCAATAAAATCCAATATGGCCACCGTAGCCATGGAAATGAAACTTTTTTTTTCCAATTTTATTACGGATTTTAAGACTCCTTACTATGCTTGTTATATGTGTGAAATTTGGTAAAATTTGCTCCTCTAATAAGCGGGATAGCCTTCAGCTGTAGCCCCCCCCCCCCCCCCCCCCCCCAACTCTCTTTTCTCAATGCCAATCCACTTGACGGTCTACCATCATCATTATGTGGCCTACCACAAGTCCTACCTGCTTACCACAGTCTACCTGACGGTCTTGGACGACCACGATAATTTGTCCCCGCGGTTTTATGCCCCCCCCAAAAAAAATCGGATATCATGCAAAATGAGCCCAAAAATGTGAAATTATGCGATTCTGTTAATTCTAACAAAGAATGGGAAAGGAAAAGAATCATCTTCTTTTTTTTTTGGGGGGGGG